AGCTGCTAGAAATACTGTATAACCCAAAGGCTCTTTTAAGAGCCACCCAACTTTTCAATAAAAGGGCTGTACAGTCAACTAAGAACACTTTATTTTCCTAGTGTGGAACCTTATTTTGCAGTTTTGGGGAGTTTTGCATGCCACTTATGGCTAGTTCTGTTAACATACTGGTTTGTAGTTTAATGTGTTATTGAACATAAACTATTTGGGCAATAAATCACTATAACTAGAGACATTTTTAACTTTTCTCAAGGTGATACCACTTTTTGTTAATCTATGGTTCTCTTGCAACTTTCAATATCGTGTTATTTGTGAGCAATACCTCACTGATCTCAGGGTTTTTGTTATATGTGTTGTAAATTAAAAGACTAAAATATTTCTGCATTTTTTTTTAGCCAGGAAAATCAAAATTATTACTAATGGATTCTTATCCATGTACAGCATAGCTATTGTAAGATCTGCTGTTTGATGCTGCTCAGTCTTTGGGGCTTTTGGTAGTTTTTATGGTAGCAGAAGTAAGAGGACCGCAGTGCACTGCACTATAAAAGTATTTATGTAGTAACAAGTGACATTTATCTTAAGATGTTACCCATAACCCAGTGATTAATACAATTCAGAAGTACTTTCTACAATCTTTGTCTTCGACAGTTGTCTTTATTATACAGTTCATGTGAATTTTACAGTAACTTTTCTAGCTTCTCCCTATGACTGCTTGAGGTTCCCCTTGCAATTAAAAGAAATATGTGAAGTTCAATACTTTTAATACATATTGGGCATTTCCTGCATTTATATGTCATTAATTGTATTAAAACTATTAAATATTAAGAAACTAGGCACTGTGGGCTGACTTAGCAAGCTATCAGTTTATCATATAGCTACTTGTCAGGCTCAAACTACAGGTTTTTAGAATCACTCCATCACATTCTTGGATAATTAAATGCTACCATAGACGCAGATCAAAGCCATTATCACTTTTCAGCTGGGTCTGAATAATCCTGAATTTCAAGTATATATTCTGGACTTCTGAAGATACTGAATTCATAGAGGGACTCAGCCTTCCTAGTATTGACTGCATGTTGTTTGGTAGTACAGGTAACGAGACAGGCACCAGGTCTCTCAAATCTGACATCTATTACTTAATCAAAGTTAATTTCAGTTTGAAGGTTTATGGGGACTTCTCAGATTGGATTTCAGATATCCAGTGGGAATTGGCATCCTCCGTACTCCATACTCTTCTTCAGCAGCTCGAAATGGCATTTTAGACATCTGCTCACCAAGTGCTTTACTGCAAACTCTGGAACACAGGTTGCATATTCTGGGCCTCTGTAAATGTCCAACGCCTAAGAAGATTAATGAACCACAGTATATTCCAATCTCTAGGTTTTTATAAGGGTACCTGGCTCACTAGAAAAGGACTCTAGAAAAGGATTATATCATATGAGCACATAAATATGTTCATATTTAACACGATGATAATCACCAGAAGAATTTTACACTGGCTATTATTCTCTATAATCAGTCATGTAAAAGCACCCTAGTTCAAAATACAGCTATCACAGGGCAGCCCTGTTGCCTAGGTTAAAATAGGAGCTTAGTGGTGCCTTTTGGACTCCCAGCTCATAAGCATTCATATTGCCTTTCCTGTCTTTATATGGTCCAGGTTGCACACTTCACTAACATAGCTGTCGTAGAAATTTCAGGGATTTTTTAATAGATTATTTCAGTATGGGAAATTGTTTCTAGGCCCATGAAACTTCACTCAAGAAAATTAAATGCTGCTATGATTGTTCCTTTCAATTTCAGTATCAATGATAAGGCAATATTAGGGGACTATAATGTGAACATAGCATTTGACATCAGATCTGATTGTAACACAACCCTTAATTTTCTAACAGTGCTGAGAAAAAAGTCTCTGAACTGACAAAAAGCAACTAACATGGAAATTTTTTGTGCTTGTTCTTTTCACCAGAGGTAAAAGTAGTAGGATTTGAGCTCAGCAAAAATAACCAATTCGATTTCATGTCTCAAGAGAATGTGAACTTTCAAACACTCAAAACATTCAAACCCAATAATGCAAATAGTGTGAATATACATATATTCATACATATATAGGGTGTGAACATGAAATCACATGGCTGCTTATTTTTCCATCATTCATGTTCTTTGCTGTTCGTTCCTATTTAGTTCAAAGCAGTGCTGTTTGTATACTTAATTCTGCTCTACAGAGATGACATCAACAGCAACAGTAAGATGACATTTTTCAAATACATTCTCCTGGTATAGCAGGAATTATGCTGCTTCCACTTAGACCATGTAGGAACTATGTACATGCCACCTCTAAATGGTTCCTGATTGAAGATGAGTTTCCAATCCACTGAGTAAATGTCGTTTATTTCTCCAACATGCAGAGCAGCTAGAGCTGAGTGTCTTCAAAGAGGAAACCACTGTACCAGACTGCAACACAAATTATACCTGTACCACTTATCACCTGGTCCCCAAATCCAGTAATTTAATTCTTGTTGGTGTTCCCTTGATTTCCTGCTGATTTTCTGGTCACTGGCTGGTCATCTTCTGAAGTTTTTTCATTCTCTTCAGGTTATTTCCATGATTTTTCTTCATTCTGCTTCTATCTTGGCAATTTCAGCTTGTTCTGTGTTCGTGGCATTAATTTTATCAAAAAGTTTAGGCTCTTGTACCCTAAGGCTTCAACTTGTTGAGCTTCCAGTGATAAGCAAGGCTATTAATCCTAACAATTCTCAACACTGGGATGTGCTAGAATGCATAATCTTTAAACAGGCCCTTCATGTTGTATTTTTATCTACCCTCCACGTCTGCCTTCAAAATACCTCTTGATTCACATTAACTGAAATATAGGCTGTATCTGCATTTGGTTATGCAAAAATTTTTGTTAAAATACTTTTTTTATACCATCACTTTTTTGTATCTTAAATTACCAGAGTTACATTACGGTTTAATACTGTAGTGAATAACCAGCAATAAATAATACTGAAGAACAATACAACCAGTACAAAATTTCTCATATCTTATTTTTATTAGAGTAATAAAATTAGTAGCATTCCTGGAAAATTCTCTAGATCACCATACCTACAGTAAAATTTATTTATATTCACTGTCATGTTTAAAAAAGAAAAACAACACCGCCTGCTTTTATTTCTACAAAAGTGAAACACACAAAATTTAAAATATAAAATTGAAAAAAATATATAAAATTTTAAAAATATATAAAATTTTAAAAAATAACTGTATTTTCTAGTTAATTGATTGAATAGTGAATTAGAAATTAGACATAGGTGTCATACACCTGATCCAAAACCTGACCAACTATCTGTAGCAATTTTCTACTGCTTCACAGTTTTGGTTGTGGTTTTTTGAGTATTTTTGTCGTTGTTGTTTAATTTGTTTTTATTAGTGGAATAAATCAATATCTGCTCACCTGCTTATGAAATCTTAGAAAAATTCTTTTTCCTAATGGCCACAGATTATAACTACTTGACACACAGGGCAAATTATTGCAATGTTATTGTCACAGAGACCTTCTTTTTCAGTTTTAATAAAAAAAGAATATATTTTAAAATAATTAGCATTGTAGGAGAAAGTATTGATGGCAGCTTGGGAAAAATATTTGGTCTTACACACACCCATGTATAATGGTTTTCACCAGTAATGAAAATGTGCCCAGTTGAAATTGCAAATGAAAAAAAGTTGAGACTTTGTGTTCCAAAACCTGGTGCCAGGGTTAAGCCGTTCAGAGCACAGCACAGCTCAAGACAGGACACAAATCTCACTGGAGAAGAGGACTAAAAGTAAATAGGAACATAGCTAGGAACTACTCCCTTCCCATCTCATACACTTACAAGAAATGAAGAAACATTACAATGAGCAGGAACAGCTCTTTCCTCAAAGATTGGGGTCACAGAACAAGAGGCTTATGTAGGTAGAAAGGCCTTTTAGGCTTTGAGTCTCATGGCTACAAAGAACTAAATTATTTGACAGCAGCCCTGATGGAGTGGTTGTTCCAAAAGCATTTCTTGTCAAAAATAAAAATACATATTAATCACAAAGGTTCATCCTTTCATTTCTAACACTGAAAAGCTCAGGAAGCAATTCTGGACATACTTGTATTTCA